CCCTGGACACGCGACCACAACCCAGAGGCGGAGCACCCCTTCTGTCCACTCCAGGGGTCAGTCCTGGTTCTATCAGGAGCCCGGCCGGATGCCCCTCAGGGAAGGTAGCGAACTCCTGGCTTGAGAAAGCTGAGGAGGAAGCACTGAGGGCGGCATCAGGAGAGGAAAGACCAGAGGAAGAAGGAACACGGCCGGACAGTGCACTTGACCTTCTCGCCCAGGATGAGCCTGGGGCGGCCACTCCAGCGCCACCAGCCCGCCCTCCACAAGCGCGTGCGTGGTTCCCACGGAGCAAACAGCCAGTGCCCGGCTCTGGGAGAACAATCGCTGCCTCAGGAACGCCCAACGCACACAGCAGGCTTCACGGAGGAGGAGGCATTCGCCGCGGGCCTGGGAGGCCAGAAGGGATTGGGGAAGACTGGGGAGGGGGTGGGGGGGACATGGACAAAGCTGAGGTCGAAGTGCCGGCCTCGTGACCGGAGGGGCCTGGTAGCCACCATGACAGGGCCGCTTGCTGTCTGGAGCCGAAACGGTCAGAGCTGCACTTCCTAACTGGCATCACCGTGGAGAGGCAGGCGGGGTGCTGGGTGGTGGCCGCGTGATGGCTTAGAAAGGACCGTCCCCGAGGCCCCTGGATGCGCCGGGAAACAGCAGCCTCACATGGTCGCTCTAGGAAGTGCCCGGGAGCCTCCCGCAGGCCTCACGAGCTGCTCGTCCTTGTCCGGCGGGAACAGATGCGAGGCAGGGAGGCGGCTCGGCGGTCGGTCTGCCCGGTGCTAACGCACGGGAAGCTGGCCGTGGTCACTTAGTGTCCACCCGCCAACAGTGCGCCCAGCAAGAAGGCATCTGGGGGCCGGGCCCAGAGACCCCAGGCCAGTCGCGGCCCTTCTGGACCGCCCGCCTGCCCAGAGCTGCCACCCGGGATCAGTGCCAGCTACTAGCAGGGGACCCTCGGGCTGGCAGCGGCCACAAGCCAGGATCCTGCTGTGCCAGGGACGCCCGGTGCTGTCCCCACCCTCAGAGGTCGGGGTGACGCTGGGTAGGCCTCGGGGGCCCCCTTGACAGACAGCCTCCGCCCCTGGACATCTGCAAACACGGAGCTCCCCCGGAGACGTGCTGGGGAGGGGCCAGCCCGCCCTCCTGATGTGGGCACCGTCACTATGGGTCTGACCGGCTCCCCTCCCAGGCCCGAGCACAGCTCTTCTGGTCCCTGAGATGCGGGACAGTGGGCCCCAGTGCCACTCGGCCGGCTCCCCTCCCAGGGCCCTGCCCAGCTCCTGCAGTCCCGGGACGCTGCGGCTGTAACAGCCTCAGCACACGGCGTCCCACAGGCTCTGCAAACGGCCTGGCGGGATCCCGTCACTCCCTCCTGCCACAGGCCTGGGCTGCCCCTCGGCCTGGCCGGCCCCTCTCCCCATGGCTCATTCACAAGTGAAATGTCACCCCAGCCCCTTCCTAAATTCGCCCCCACCCCATCGCCACGAAAGCACCCCTGCTGCTGGCCTTGTCACCCTGGCTCGCCTCCCCGCCCCCTTGTCCCTGCCCGCCTGGTGCACCCCTGGCTCAGGCTGATCCTAGTATCCCCCAAGCTGGGCCGCACCGGTCCTGCCATCTGGAGCTTGGCCACCAGAGGGCGCCCTCGCCGATCACTGGAGCCCAGTTTGTCAGTATTGCAACAGCCTGGGCACCTGGAGACGCCCATGCAGCACCCGGGCACTTGGTGAGGCAGTGGGGACCCCGTGTGGCAAGGAGAGAGCCAGGAGGGGGAGCTGAAGGGGCACGTGCAGGAGGCCTGCAGGCCATCGCCAGGGCAGGGGGGGCGGGAGGCCTGCAGGTGACCCCGGGGCAGGGGGGGAAGAAAGGGGGGGCAGGCCCCACACACCTGGGCAGTGGGGCTGGAGCACAGACTCCCACAAGACGAGCCTGTTTTGCAAAACATATTTAATCAGAATAAATAGAGGCCCAGGCAGGGCAGGGTCCACTGGGGGCGCCGCAGCCCCTCGGCCACCCTCCAGCTCCAGCCCTGGATGGGCTGTGAGTCCCGTCACCTTCCCGGGGTCCCAGCAGGGCCGCCTGAGGGGCCACACAGTCTCGGGTGCATCGGGGTCTGCAGAGCCGTGGGAACTGAGCCCGGTGGGTGAGCAGGCGCAGGGCTGCCAGGCCCGTCCTGGTCCTGCTAGGCTGCCCGATGGTTGCAGGCCGGGGCCGGGGGTGCCCCTCCCTCCTGG